TGTGTGTGCGTGCGTGCGTGCGTGCGTGCGTGCGCGCGCATGTGTATTGGTGGTCCAGAAAGGAGTGTTATCTTCCGGTAGATTATGCTGCATTGAATATATAACTAGCCGACTTTTTACATAGTTTCCTTTGCACGACTTGCGCGGCGCATGTTTGTAAAGCAATTATCAATATCATATTCCTCCATGCTGAACCACCATCGATACATCCGGGAACTTTTGATTATGCAATGCTCAAATACCTCGAGTCAACATTAACATTTTTGGCGAAAACAATAGTGACAAACACACTAATAAGCTGATTATTGAGAACATACTTGCTTTACTTTGTTTGGCCTGTGGCTTGGATACTATAATATCAGGATGTCTAATGCAGTGAGCTGCCAGTTTTATCGATACTTTTTGTTTTGATTTTCTCAACTTATTTGTATGTAAAGCCACACCGACTTAATTTTATGGATGACATCCGCGCGCGCATTGATTTTCGCCTGTCGTCCTCAAAAAAAAAAAAAAAAAGATCACCTACACCTAGCTCTTAGGCCTGGGTAGTCCATGCTAGTCAGCGACAAAACGGAGCCGAGCACCCAAGCTATCGAATTCGAAGCTCCACGACTCAAGAACTAAGTACATAAGTACAGTACCGATTCATAAATGCCGCAAAAAGCCAGCATGTGCCGGCCTGCCGTACGTATACATCGCTAAGTCCTGCCGCAAATTCACAATACCAGCTTTGTATTCCTGTGGTTTAGTAGCATTTTTATTTTTGGCGGGAATTTTTTTATTCGCCCGCGCGCACTAGTTTGGGGGTCTTCAGAGGATGTCATACATAAAATTAAATCGGTGTGGCCTAAATATCAATTGAACAGATAATTTGATTACGCCACTTATGGAAAAGATAATCAGATTACACCGTCATATTTCATCGTCAATGTTTTCTGCATAAATGAGAGGCGATAAAGGACACCGAGAAGGCCAATGGTTGGTAACATATCAAAGAACACAAAACAGTACGATTAGTTCTTATCGCCCCGAAATTAGGTCTGTAACGTAACTTTCTTGGTCAAAACATAGACACCAATGGGGGTAGCGTGGTGTATTCTGGAATAGTTTTGAGGGTATTTCGAGAGTTTGTCCCGGATTCGATGCATTTTAAGACTTACGCGCAAAATGGGCATTTCATTGTATACTGTAAAGTAATATGCATTTTTCACTTCCTAAAATTAATGTCTGTCGGAATATAGCACTCCCTTCTGGACTTTAGTACTCCTGGATAGATTGTCATAGTGATATTCGGTATGGTGGTAGGTCTTGCGAAAAAAAAGGTCAAGGTCAAATATGCGCCTCCTGGTGAATGCTCGGGGTAATGCATCAGCACACACAATTTCTGTATCTTATATGTCCTGGACATGCTAGGGTCTTGCTTTTTTGGTGGCAGCTAGCTTTTATGTGAGGAAACGTAATATTAATGTAGATTTGGTCATTATGTCAGCTTGTTTTGGAAATGCGGTGGTGATTTGGGTGATCATTTCAGTCCATATCATAGGAATGGAATTAAATATTGTTTTTCTTGGTGTTTCCTTGTTTCATCCTCCTCCTTCTTCTACTTTCATTTCGTTGAATTCTATTTGAATGAATGAAAGAATGAATGAATGGCTCATTTCAGGGTTCATTTGATCATTTTGATCGGGTCAAAAGTACATCTCAGCCATAGGCTGAATTGTGTACTTTTTACATATTTAAAAACTCTTGGCATTAGTCTCTTCATCGTTATCTTTTCTATTAAACAATATAAAAGTTAATCCCAAGAAACACTACCTTCAGACAGGCGGATATTCCGTAGTTTTGGGGTAGAGAGAGTGATTCCCTAATACCCGTAGAGTTTTCTTTCATTTTTCTTAAATGCAGGCGTTTAAAATTGTTTTTGTTTTCATTTTCATACAAAAATTGTATACTTCTGGTATTTCTGGTTTCTGGTAAGTTTTTTTTTACTAGACCGCACGTATCCGGGTGGAGCGAGCGGCCGCCGTGGTGTCTGTAGCTTCCTCCGCGCCCACCGCAGCTGCCTTGCCGCCGGCATCGCCGTGCTGCTGAGCCTTGTCTCTGTGGGACTCGCCCCTCTGACGTTCATCAACAAACAGGTAACAGCATTGTACCATAAAGCCTGTTCTATTTTATGATTATTACCTTCGCCAAGAAGGTTATGTTTTCAGTAGCGTTTGTCTGTCTGTCCGTTTGTGTGTCTGTGAACAGCATAACTCAAGAAGCTTAATGTGGATTGTCATGAAACTTGGTATGTGGGTAGGTCTTGATGAGACCTAGAAATGATTGGATTTTGGGCCCCCTGGAGGCTTTTGTTGGTACTGCAGCAGAATGTCCGGTTTTGATATCTCGCTAACTAGATATGCTAGAGTCACGAATTTTGATTGGTAGATAGCTCTTGGGGTAGGGAAGAAGTGACATGAGTTTGGGACCCCTAGCAGCTTGTTCTGGAACTGCAGGAGCGTTTCTTGAAAAATCTCCGAAGGTGGATAACTCAAGAACCGGTTAACGGATTGACATGATTTTGGTATGTAGGTAGCTGAAGTGATGCTTGACATAATCAGATTACAATTATGTAAATCAGGCGCTAATTTGCATAATTAATGAGGAAATTCTATAAATCTGCTTCGTTCGATAATAGGACTATGAAACACTTGTGACATGTAATTGAGAACGAGAAAAACATCTGAGGTTATAGATTATGTAAATGAAGACCTAATTTGCATAATTAATGGGAAATTGTTATACATGTAATTTCATAGTTGTAATTGCTGGTAATTTCATACTTGCCGCATTTGGAAGTTAAGTGAAGGTGAACATCAATGAAGATAATTTATTCACATTATGACCTCATTTGCATAATTCATGAGGAAGTGCTAGAATAGCATATTTTGCTAAGATGAGGCTGTCATTGGGTGGAGAATATGATCAACTGATGTAATCCATGCAAAATGGCACTCTTATTTGCGAAATCAATGATTAAAATTGTATAATTCGTCAACCGGAAGGGTTAACATCATTTGGCGAAGGTATGAGATCATGGAACTCTAGTGTTCATTCTGCTTTTAAAAGAGGATACAAAAAGGAATTTACTGCTGTTTTGCGTAAGTTTTTTTCTTACGTTCGGCATTCTGACGCACGTATATACGCTTGTAGGAAATATCTCAGTTGTCGACGACTTTTGACGCCGTGAAATGCGACCAATACAACATGTCCACCGCTGTTGACGCCTTGAAGCGCGACCAAGACGGCATGTCCACCGCTGTTGACGCCTTGAAACGCGACCAAGACGGCATGTCAACCACTGTTGACGCCTTGAAACGCGACCAAAACGGCATGTCCACCACTGTTGACGCCTTGAAGCGCGACCAAGACGGCATGTCCACCACTGTTGACGCCTTAAAACGCGACCTAGACAACGAACGCAGCCGAATCACCGCCTTGGAAAAGCGTTTTCACGAAATTGGTAAGAATTTAGGTAAATTGGTTTTCAGCTGTTATATTGGCCTTTTATGTCGGTCTATATATTTGCCACTATCATCATTTTAAAAGGGCAACTTGCAAAGGTGTTCATAGACTTGTTTTTCACCCCCTTCCACTTGTATATTTCTTGTGGTGAAGCCAAATAAGTAAATAGATAAAAATACATAGATATATTATGCTACNCACATCTCATCACCACCATTGTGGACTACATAACCCCCATGGAGTGCACATTTACAACATTTACAGATCAGTAAACTCTCAAGTGAGCTCTTCTAATCTGTTCAAACAGCCATTATTAACTGCACAAGTCTCAAACGACTAGAGAATAGCTCAATATATATCGCTAAAGCTAAAAAATGGTGTATAACTTTCACCTATGATACAATGAAAAAAAAATTAATATTAATATATGTATGCAATACAGATTGCCTCATGGCAAACTGTTATCATTGCAATTACCCATGTTCACTAACATTAGAATCCTTTTGCTGCTCTATGCATGTACTGTATAATACATTAAAAATATACAAATATGACTCAACAGCATTCAATTTTGGAAATAAAATTCACAATATTTCACTTCATGCTTTTCTTTCCATAAATGTCTTAGCAAAGATAAACACACTTCCCTTACTTATAATGATTGATTAACACAAATACATGCTACTCTGACCTACAGTACACTGCAATATACAAAAGTATACCAATTGACTAACTACATGTTTCACATAAGATATTACATCTTTGAAATACTAAATAACTATCAATTTACCACAGTTAAGCTGTCACGATGGTCAAAACTGACCTCATTTTTCCTAACACGCAGCTCATAAATATTGATGAAAGATCGGTGTCATTACTGTGTCAATCATTCATTTCGCTATTGACAACAGTAACTGATTGGTTAACACGTTTCAAGGCGTGGACTCAGTTTACACAATGGCCAGCAGATTTCAAGCTTGTCTACATGTACTAGATAAAAAAATACGTTTGGGCTTGAAAAGAATGCAATGTTGGTAGAAACAAGTCATGACTCAGAGATGATTGTATTGGCATTGTGAAAACATTGTACCTGTTACCCCTGATTTGAAGTAGTGTCGCCCAGCTGTGTAACTTTTCTTTGACCTAAGAAATAATTTATGACAGGGCCGATCGGAAGAAAGGGTCAAATTTACTAACCTTTCGAATCTTTCATGGTCCTTGCATCACATATCTAATAATAAACGATGTACTACTTTATATCTTTACAGATCGAGGAAGCGGCTGGCAACATGTTGATGTTGTCTGGCCCTTTAATCGACGTCTACCTGACCAAGCTTGGCGAGGAAGTGGCGTCACGACTCCGCCGGAATAACAGCACGGGCCTGGCCACCTTTGCTGACTTCATCCCGTCACAGGCGTTCACGCCTATCATGTACCTGATCCAGCGATATGGTGGTCAGGTCAGCCACTTCCAGGGCCGGGGGCCATACGGGAAGGTGGAGATAAAGATCACCAGCCTCGAAGTCCTGGAGGCAGTCCTCAGCGGAGAGCGTTCGGACGGGCGAAACTACTTCATGAGGCAACACTTCGACAGGGAACGCACACCAGACGTAAGTATTCTGAACCCCAAGCTAAAGTGTTCTCACTTTAATCCATAGAATACATGGTACAACAGACGCTTTTTTGACAAAGATCAGTAATCCAGGTCAGCCTTAAAAGTGGATCAGGAACCTTTGTAACTGGATGCTTTGGTGCTAATATCAAATCATAATTGCATTACATGATTACAACTGACAGTATTGCACTTGTTTTTCTACAGAAGAAAGTCATCAGCCACTACCGGGGGGTGACGGAAGTGCTGGTGAACGAAGCCCTCCCCTTCACCATGCAGTACAGCAGCAGCAGGCACAAAGTGAAGGTCTCATTCTACAGGCAGAAGTATGACCGAAACGGCATGGTGGAGAACAGTGTTCTGCAGGCAGCAGGCAGCTCTTGACAAATGAAACATGATTCTCACTGATTATGCATGTCAAATGAGAAGGATCAGAAAGGTTTTGAATAAAGTACTCCGTTCTTGTGATCAAATATGACGTGCTTGTATTCTTTGTGTCTAAACAAACTTGCACTGACCAATAATGAAATAGGATTTGACAAAAAATGTTTTTACCAATTGAAAAATAAAATTCATATCAAGTACAAATAGTTCCAACCTGGTACAAAAACGAATAACTCTGCAAGTACTTTTTGATGGTTGCATTTATTGGATTTGAGCACAATTACAATCCATACATAATGAGTCACATGTTTATGTATAACAAGTGTAGCACAAAATTCAACATAGCATAGAATTCACATGTAATCTTTGTTCATATTATTTCATTATCTCTATGTTTAACTATTTGATTGTCTATGTCCTTTGTAACTTGTTCTGTTGGGCTACCTTGTAAATCAGTTGTCCTAAACTGAAGGTACCACCCAACAGTTTTTAAGATCAATAAATAAATAAATGAATTCACATATGCATTTTGCTCAATCAATATATACAAGTATAAGTCCGACATCAAACAAGCTAACTGCATAATAGAACAGGCAATATCAGGCAATAACCTGTTTCACTAAATGTAATATACAGCAGGATCCCACATTTCTGCTCATTCTGACCCACATATCAGGTGATACTCTTGTAGCAGACAGGTCAGCTTAATACACTGCTTGACACAAACCAATCGCCACAATTTTCTTAATTGGCAAAAGCCTAACTTAGTCGCACTATGTAGCATTGGGAGATGCCTACTGCAATCTCCGACAGTGTCGTTTTGGGCCAAAACACACCACATGTTCAGAAAGAACAAGAACATCTAGGAGAATCTTAGTCTCCATCAAGACATCTCACTTCACATGAAGTGAACATACTTGTCAGTACATAGACCCACATCTGGGACACCTGCTGTAGTACAGACAGGCAATTGGCGTGTGAAATGTACAGTTTACCTAAGTTGGTGACACGACACTGTCAAAATCATTCAACGTCACGGGTCCCACCCAACCAGTCACCGTGGTTCAAGGTCTCGGTTCCCTCTCTGGAACTTACGCACGATGACGTGTATAAATGCAATTCATGGATGTGGCTGCGACTAAGTTGATCATTTTGAGATTACCAATCTGGATATACTCTGTCTGCTACAACGTACACCTTTCACATGACTCTATAAATTTACAGAATTGAAGGAAAACTGAATGCTTACTTAGCATCACCATATAGATACAGTGAGCATACATACATTGTACATGCCAACAATTTTTACGATGATCCTTGTGACTCACTTAACAGTTGGCATCTGAGTGTATTGTATAAGATATAGCCTTTTGAAAATACCTACAGCACCAACTGCCCTAGTTGGATACAGGGATATTTCTAAATTGGAAGAAATACAGAATTCTCAAACCTTTAACAGTGAACTGATATGACTGTATGATAACAGTACGACTAACATGACTGCATGATAACAGTACGACTAACATGACTGTATGATAACAGTACGACTAACATGACTGTATGATAACAGTACGACTAACATGACTGTATGATAACAGTACGACTAACATGACTGTATGATAAGAGTACGACTAACATGACATATGATAACAGTACGACTAACATGACTGTATGATAACAGTACGACTAACATGACTGCATGATAACAGTACGACTAACATGACATATGATAACAGTACGACTAACATGACATATGATAACAGTACGACTAACATGACTGTATGATAACAGTACGACTAACATGACTGCATGATAACAGTACGACTAACATGACTGTATGATAACAGTACGACTAACATGACTGCATGATAACAGTACGACTAACATGACTGTATGATAACAGTACGACTAACATGACTGTATGATACAGTGGACTAACATGACTGCAAAATAAGGGGAGAAAATTTTACGTTTGTTAACATATATGCACCAAATGAACCTAAAGATAGAACTCTCTTTTTGAAAGACTTAATTAGCTGGATACATTCTTCTAATATATATGATTTAGTGATTGGGGGGGACTGGAACACCATTATAGACAAGGACAGGGATAAATTTCCACAGGCGGTACACTCTAACGCATACTACAGTGAATCAGCAGCAAGAATAGTTGATTTATGCAATACTTTTAAACTTTACGATGTTTGGAGGGAAAAGTTCCCAAACAAGTTACAGTACACATGGAGGAGATTTAATCCTAACGTGACCTGTAGATTAGATTATTTCCTGATACACAAATCCTTAAAAAAACGAGTTGTAAACACAGATATAAGACCAGCAACAAGAACTGACCATCAAGCTGTTACACTTAAATTAGCCACACAACTTAATCAGAAAGGACCAGGACAGTGGCGGTTCAACGATAGTCTTTGTGACGACAACACCTACAGAAAGGTTTTATTACAAACAATCGAAGATACTAAAAAAATGAACAAGACTCAAAATCACAGAACACTATGGGACCTGTGTAAAAAGAACATTAAAGAAAAAACAATACAATACAGCAAACACAAGGCTAAAATTCGATCAAAATGTTTACACTCATTGGAAAGAAAATTGTCAGTTTTAGAAACAAGGCTACAGGAAAAATTAGAATCTAATACTGAAATTGTTCTAGAATACAACAACACTAAAAAACAAATAGACCAGTTCTACAAATATAAAGCCACTGGTGCAAGAATAAGATCAAGAACTAAATATTACGAAGAAGGCGAAAAATCGACCAAAATGTTTCTAAACCTAGAAAGGAGAAACAATAAAAGGCATACTATTACCGAATTGGAAGGGCCTAATGATCTGATGTTTACAAACACAGCTGAAATTCTTAATCAATGCAAGGAATTTTATCAGGATTTGTACGAATCCAGGCAGGTGCCAGACTCAGAGGTAGAACATTTCCTTCAAATTGTAAACATGCCAAATACTCTTTCTGAAGAAGACAATATATTTCTGGAGAAACCTTTAATGGATAATGAGTTTTGGACAGCACTTACACAAATGAAATCTGGAAAAAGTCCAGGTTCAGACGGTTTAACGGTTGACTTTTACAAAACCTACTGGGATGTGATAGGCTATTTGGTGATTAATTCAATTAAGGAAGGTCTTGAAGAAGGTGAACTGTCGATAACACAAAGAAGGGCGATACTTCGATTGTTACATAAAAAGGGAGAAGAAAGTAATTTAGATAATTGGAGACCAATTAGCCTGTTAAATGTGGATTTTAAAATACTAGCGCATGTGCTAGCTACTAGACTAAAACCATTTTATCCCAAATTATACATGAAAATCAAACAGCATACATAAAAGGCCGTCATATCAATCAAAACATACGACTGCTCCTGGACACTATATCATACACAGAAAAGATGAATATCCCTGGAATATTATTGTTTTTAGATTTCAGAAAAGCGTTCGACGCGGTAGAATGGATTCTTTTATTTAAAACACTTGAAAAGTTTAATTTTGGAAACACTTACCTTTGTTGGTTGAAAACAATTTACAAAAACTGTGCAAGTGCCGTTAGTAATAATGGCTGGATCTCGGAATTCTTTAACTTACAGCGAGGGATTAGGCAGGGCTGCCCGCTGTCGGCAATTCTCTTTCTTTTTGTGATGGAAATTTTGGCCCTGTACATTAACCAGGAAAAGAATATTGAAGGAATCAAAATTACAGACGGTGAAGAGATTACAGAAATTAAGACTTCACAAGTGGCAGACGACACAACGCTTCTTTTAGGGAGCGAAGAGTCTGTGCATGTTGCCATACAGGCACTAACATATTTCAGTAAAATAGCAGGACCACAATTAAACCTGAGAAAAACACAAGCAATTTGGGTAGGTTGCTGGAAGTTTAGGCGAAAGGAAATTGGAGGGATCTCTTTTCCTGAAAGACCGATTAAGTCTCTAGGAGTATATTTTGGACATGGGGTAGAAGAATGTAATGAAAAAAACTGGTACGAAAAAGTGAGAAAGATTGAAAACATACTACAGTCGTGGTCAAACCGAAATCTAACACTATATGGTAAGGTTACTATACTTAAAACATTGATTGTATCACAAATAATTTATTGTGCCACATCACTTGTTGTACCAGAGGATGTCATCGTCAAATTAGACAGAATGTTTTATCATTTTCTGTGGTCCGGAAAAAAAGACAAAATTAGGAGGTCAGTAATTATATCAGATTATGAGAATGGGGGAGTAAAGATGCTAGATATTCGTTCGCAAATCGATGCCTTACATGCAAGTGTTATTAGACGTATAATGGACAGTTCGGTGGGTGATTGGAAGATACTTCCTCGTTTATTTCTTAACAGTTTTGGGAAAAACTTCCTTATTCTAAATATGCATTTTAAAGACAAGCTTAACTGTCCTAACATGGAACACATACCTTTGTACTACAAACATGTTATCCTAAGCTGGCACAAAGCGATAGGCAGAAACATGGTAGAACCCGAGAACCCGGGCGAGATAAAAGGACACATAATCTGGGGGTCGAGGTTTATTGTATGTAAGCAGGGGACGAAAAAACCCACCTCACTATTCTACAAACACTGGATAGATTCAGGAATAGTACATATAGATGACTTGCTAGATGATAATCAATGCATAAATGAAACACTTATTTTCGAGAAACTTAATGATAAGAGAAAATGGCTACAAGAATTATATATTGTAAAAAGAGCAATCCCCAAGAAGTGGTTAACATTGTTGCATATGCATGGCCCAGAATCAGTAGTACAAAAGGTAGAAATCACTAATTTTTCTCAGTATACCTGTAAATATTTGTATAAATTGTTATGTATAGACAAGATAGAACATCCACAAGCTATAAGAAATTGGGCCAAACAGTTACAGAAGGATCCCAGCTCTCTGAAGGTTCCATGGAAGGAAAGAACTCTTGGTTTAACCATAGAAAGAAAATTGTCAAACTTTATGTACAAGTTTCTTCATAGAATCCTTCCTAATAATAAAAATCTCTTTAAATGGAAATTAATAAGGACACCTCTATGTAAAATCTGTTCAGAAATAGAAGACGAAAAACATATGTTCTTTCAATGCAAAAGACTTAACAATTTTTGGAAAAAAATGGAGAAACTACTGAACATTATAACTACTATTAAGGATATCAATGTTGAAACACTGTTATCTGGATGTCCACAAAACCAACAAAAATCAAGTGCAACTAATCATACAATAGCTATAGCAATGTACGCTATATTTAGAAGCTGGTGCACTTATAAGGACAAAGATTGTTATAATGAAATAGATCCATTCTCTGTTTTTCTAACTGACCTTACTTCCATCTTAAAAATAGAACAAAATATATCATACATGAACGCAAAAAGAAAATGGGGAGATCTTCTGTGTCTTATAGATTGTGATTGAAATACTGTATATTCCGTAAACATTATGTACCTTATGTAATCTTATGTAAATATTTTGAAATAAAGACCACGACACTGGGATCGTGGAAAGGAAAAAAAAAAAAAAAAAACATGACTGCATGATACAGTGGACTAACGTGACTGCATGATAAGAGTGAAGTAACATGACTGCATGATAACAGACGAGTACGACTAACATGACTGCATGATAACATGATAACTAACTTTAAAGCGCAGATGAGGATGATTTCTACAGAATTGTTTCAACTGTGAACATCAAATGCCGCGAAAACCTTTTTTTTCCCTCATATCATCAGATAAAACCACCCGCAAAGTAAATGCATTTATAGATTTAAGTTTACAGGATTTAAAAAAAAATGTCTGGGAAAACATTAAAAAATATCCCGCAAGATTACTCAGATGCAGGAAAGACTGTCTTAGTTTTAACGGGTTATGAATGTTTCCAGGGAGGGTGCTGGACCTCCTTCTATTGGTGCTGCTTTCTCCATAGTAGCATACTTTAATACAGCATGTTGCAAGATTCGGCTTCCATCTGCAACAATAAAAAAAAAAACAATGGAGGCATGCTTGCCTCCCCTAAACATGCTGACCACTGTGTGGTCATACTCAAGCAAAGAAAAGAATCACAATCAAAGAATTGTAGCAAATGAAACTCCCCCTTCCCTGCGTCAGCAAAATATGACGTCACACATAGAAGTTCCCCAGTGCTGAGTTGGCAAAACATTACGTCACTCAGTTACGCCCTATCCACGTGGAAGCGAATCGGAACCCAAATCATCCTTTTCGGCCTTATCTATGTAAATTACTTTCTTGACTTAAGACGAACTCCGAGACCGCGTGGTCAGTCGAGAGAACCGAGAGGAATCCCGAGGTCGACCACTGCGGTCCGGAGCCGAGCTACTTCCACGTGGTCGGCGTGCCAGCCATCTTCCTATACTTTGTAACTCTGTAAATGTAGTTAAGTCTAAAAGGTCTCAGTTGCCATCCCGGTAACGATCAGTATCGCGGCAAGCAACTGTTGCCGGTAAGTAAGTGCTTAAATTGTATTCCCCCTTTACCTTTCTGGACCAATCGCTAAATTGTCCCCTCCTGGCTGAATGTGTATCTCCCCTATTTTGTATAAGTGGTATCTGGTATGACTTTGTATTATGCTATATGTGTCGTGTGCGACTAGAACGAATAAAGTAGACTAAAGCGAGTCCATCGTTCTCCGGTGCCTTTCCGTTGGTGAAGTTACTATAGCATAAGCCCAAATCTAGACCCGCTAGACCTACATGTGACAGAATCACAATCAATGGCCAAGAATCACAATCAATGTTACAGTATATAACTTATATTAACGTACAAGAAGAGCACATGTGCTTCTTACTTTTGGCTACAACATGCTTTCTGCAAGCGAGTTCGCAGCGTTGCTACGGATCCAGTCGTAGGCTTCCCCAGCCTTGCCAGCTCTGCTATGAGTCTTTCTCTCTGCATGACATTAATGTCGATATCAAAAGGCATATACCTTACATGTGGCACTACAGCTCTCTCTGTGTTGCCATGGGTTTTCTTCTTGTGGTCGGCCAACTTCTCACCATAAGCAAACCGCAGGCTACACACGTCACACACATCTGGGAGCAGGATGCTGGTCATCTTTGGAGTGAGTTCACCCTCTTTTGCACAGGCGACAACCTCCAGTGCTTCCAAACAGAAAGGACAGAGACTTACCTGCACCTCATCATCCTGTTCCTCTGCAAGGTCATCCTCCTGATCCTCTGCAAGGCCACCTGTGCTCCTCACAATCTTTCTTCCACAGTCACAATACCCGGGTGTCCCAACCTGACTGGGGACCCGGGCATTGAAGTGTGGCCTGTACTGAGAAGGTGAGGGGCTATGCTCTGGCAAGTAGAAAGTCACCATGTATTCAGACCTGAAGACCTGATGGTACTTGTTTGACTTACCTTCTGCTTTGGAGTGGTTTGTAAGCTTGAGGTAGTCCTTGACCTTGGCATTCTTGGCCTCCTTTCCCTGCATGGAGACAACTCCATAGCCTACCCCGTACTCGTCATGGAACTTCCTGGCAAAGTATTGGATGGCTTTTGACACCGTCCATACAGTCAGGTTTCCACCCTCGGGCAGGAATAGGCAATACAGGTTAAAGTATTGGTCAAGGCACTGGTCAAGGTCATTGAGGTCTGCCTCGTTAGCCTCATGCTTGTTGAATAGAGCTCCTGCATCCCGCAGGAACTGGGCCAGCTTACCCAAAACAAGGCGCTTCACTTTACTTACCTGGTCTTCATTGGGGATTTCCAATGCATCCACAAGGCGATAAGAGTACTTCGCCAGGCGGATGGCATTCTCCCCAATGAAGCGTACATTGTTCAGCTTTGTATGGCGTGTTGACTTGCTTGCATCGTGCTCCAACACCCGGTCCGCAATGTACTTCATATTGAGGCCAACAAGAGAGGGATACTCACCTTGGGCTTCCCGGACTTCCTTCGCCTTGGCTTCAGATGACACCATCTTACTGTACATGTTGTCACTCTGTACAGTGATGTCATCATTAAGGCGAACCCTGTCTCCTGCGGCTTCATGAGATGGAATGACTGGATACTTACCCTGATACTTACCTTGGGCAGGCTCATT